CTTACTTCAGTTACATAGGCAACACGAAGGACATCTCCCTTAATTACGCCCTCTTCGCGGATCCGGCGCCCGTGGTCCAAGACGGGTCTCTACAGTACCATAATCTTTTCGATGCAATTCTTGATGCAGTCTATGCTGCCCTTGAGAAGTCCGGTGGAGGTAATTTAGAGATTGTTATATCAGAGAGTGGCTGGCCTACTGACGGTGGAACGGCGACAACAGTTGATAATGCAAGGACTTATAACAACAATCTGATTCAACATGTGAAGGGAGGGACTCCGAAGAAGCCTGGAAAGCCCATCGAGACATACATTTTTGCCCTGTTTGATGAGAATAACAAGGAACCGGAGTATGAAAAACACTTCGGCCTGTTTTCTCCAAACAAGCAGCTTAAATATCCAGTCAATTTTAATTAAGGAAGTAGGAAAAATAAGGGCATTTAAGTTGTTTGATTTTGTTGTATTATTAAATAAATGCATATATAGATATATGCAAGGCACAAGTGTTGCCTATATCTACCCAGGGAAATGCCCAAATAAATGTACGAGTTAATTAATATTTATGAACAACTTAGATTATTGAAAGTTATCTGGTTTTTGATATTGTAATTTGTTAATTATTTTTGTTTTGGACGGTCATGGTTCTCATGCTAGCTATGTTGCACACTACTCAAAATTAACTTCTTGTTGTAACGAATTTAAGAGTGCATCCCACGTCAACTTATTGTATTTTAAAAAATTAATTTTGATGCATCCGATTATCTCAAGATTTAAATCTTGTATTTAATTTAAAAGACAATATTTGTTTATTAATGAAATGTCCAACCATAGAGGTGTACTTTGGGTTTAGTAAATTAGATTACAACGAGTTATTTCCTCTAGTAATTTTTAATTGTTCTACTCTCTCAACTTTTTATAAATTTACTTCGTATATAGTAAATGAATAACAATTAAAAAAAAATTGATGTAAGTGAAAATACTCAACAAATTAGAACTACAGATAAAAAGGAAAAAAATTTTAATTTTTATCTATTTACTATATTAATTTATTTAATCAAACTTTATTAAAAAAATCAAAATAAAACAATTAAATCACGACAAAAAAGCGTGTACAGTTTCGGGTCCTACAAATTATGAGTTTCATGTTGTCACAACTATGCATGTCTGAGTTTTGAGTTTTATGTGTGGTGTAGGTTCAAGTCTCGTGCTCGTAATTAAAACTTCTGCCGACATTCTTGAATACATTGTTAGTAATAAGAAAATTTTCATTATTTATCCTTAAAAAAAAAAGAAAAAAAAAAAAAGAAGAAGGGAGGCATCCAATTATGTTCTTCATCTGTTTCTTTCTACATTCTTTTGATATGGAATAATAACCAATGGCCTACACAAATTTAAGTGACCGTGACCTATTGGAAGTTTGATTCAACAAAGAAGTCAAACTTGCAAACTTTCAACTCCTGCAAAAGAGGCATTGATTGAAGGAGTTTCTGGATGACTTTTAAAGCAGACGGTGGATATCTACAAGTTAACTTACATATCCCATAACAAGACTTGCCCTTTTGAGTTTGAGATGTATGGTATGCACATAGAATAGATTAAAAGATTGAAAATAGTTATTTTTAATTGTGTAACTTAAGATTAAAAAAAAAAAAATCTACCTTCCTCGTGACTCAACCTCCTCAAAAATTGAATGTTCTCTAAGATATGGTTCATTTTAAATTAAATAAATGTAAAAAAAAATCTAATTTTTATTTTCAAATTCACCAAGGATGTGAGAAAAAGAAGAACCAAAAACCCCTAAGCAGATGTCTTAAGTAATTAGGAATTTAAAGTTTTAAATTAGAGATCTTGAGTTAAAATTTTAAGATAGATAGAGAGGGAAAAGGAAAAAGGGGAAAGGGAAAAGGAAGGCTATATCGTATTATATAATACATTATATAATTTAAAAAAAAAAAAAAAAGAACAGAAGGTAAAGAAAGCCAATGGCTGAAAAAAAGGGGTAAAGAAACTAGACTAGCAATCAAAAGTAACTGGGTTCCCTTAAATAAGGTCTCGAGTTTGAGTCTTATGAATAGAGAAACAAACGTTGGGAGAGTTTCTCCCCAAATGAGGCCTGACGTGACTCGATTTTGGATTAGTCGAGACTCAATGTGGTTACCAGATACCAAGAGATTAATTAAAAAAAAAAAAATCAAAGAACTACACTTACCCAAGAAATCTAGGGCAACATCGTCCATTAAAAATATCTATTAGAAATATATATCACCTAGTAAATAAAAATAGAATTCTTTAACATGTGCCTTTAAAGATGTATTATTGAAAATTTTTATTATTAATTTATATAAAGAAAAAAATAAAAGTTAAATTTAATTTTATTAATTGTCTAATTAAAATATTTCATATAATATTGATATTAAAAATAAAATTTAATTTTTTTATATAAATTAATGATAAAATATGTAATAAATACACCCAAGCACAGGTTAAAAAACCCAATATAAATACAAAAATTAGTTTAAACTGTACAATATAAATGATCAAATAATAAACAATCTCTATTATTGACAGCTGTTTCATTCAATAGTTACGTTTTGCAATTGGGAGGGACCTCAAATAAATATGTAATTGCAATTTCCGTAATATTTTGGAAATATCGACGTGCTTTGAAATGACTTCAGACTTTAAATTTCCCCACCGGTCGATCCCACAATGTGCGGTTGTCGCCGGGCGGACAGGTCAAGCAGCCAGAGTGGCTAAGTAGTCTTGGCCGCTGGCATCTAAAAACTTCAAAATCAATTATTGCCGTCTTAAATAAGTGAGTGATTATCTCATTTTATTAAAAATAATAGATTTTGACTTCTAAATTTGAGTTATATAATTTACAAATAAAATGAAATAAAAAATAAAAAATAATTACCTCTTAATGTACAATTAAAATAAAAAAAAAATTATTGCCCGTCCGTGACTTTAGGATCACAACAATTAAAATCAATTCTTCGCATAACACACCGTACATGGACAATCTAAAATTTCAAGATCTTAAGTGCCCCATTATTGACGAGCTAAAGCCATAGAGATTTCTGTGTAGTATTATGATTTTGAATAAAAATTATTATTATTATATTTGCGGTGGTGATACTGTTTATTAAAATCGTTTACATTCACCAAAAAATTTATTATACATATATTCACGCATAATTCTCTTCTATCTTTATTATTTAGAGAAAACAATGTATCAAAATCATATCTAGATATGTAATAGTCATCACTCACAAATTGCATTAAGATCGAATGAAGTATGGTCAAGAACAAGGAAGACTTGGAAGCAAAAGAGTTAATACTGTACCGTATCAATTGATATGATCGGTACGTATCGGTTTTGAAAGTTAATCGAAACGAAATAAGTTAAGATTTTGTTTCGGTCAAATTTCGAGTGTATCGGTCAAATTTCAATGTACCGGTCGAAATTTCAGGTGTCGGTTGGTACATCGGAATTTGACCGGTACATTATGCAAGAAGGAAAAAAAAAAAAAAAGAATCCCCAGCCAAAACAACGTCGTTTTGGCTAGGGGGTGGCGGCAGGATACCCAGGCGGTAACCTGATTAGGCAGCAGCAGTCCCTCGGCAATAGGAGAGCCGCGGTGGGCGTTAGATTTGGCAACCCTCGCGCGTGCCGCCACAGATCCGCCGGAGGAGAAAGAAGGTCGCCGGATCTGCACCAAACAAAACAAAAAACAGCAAACAAACAAAACAAACCAACATATAAACAAACAAACCAAAAAAACCCACACAAAACAAAAAACAAAGCCAGATAAGCAAGGAGATGGTGAAGATCCGAGGTGAAAGAACGGAGGTGATGGTGGCGATGGTGGATTTGCAAAGGGAGAAAAATCAAGTTTTTTTTTTTCTGTTTTCTCTTTTTTTTTTTTGGGTTTGGCAACCGCACCTCCTCCTTCTCCCTTTAAAAGAGAGGAAACTAAGGTTTTGTTAAATTTGGGTTTTGATGGGCTGCTCAATATTGTGCTGGGCTTATGAGTTTGTTTTAGTAAATTTCATCCTCAGCTTTTTAATTTTTTCAATTGAGTCCTTTTCTTGTTTTTTTTCTTCAACTTCTCCCCCAAATTTTTCATAAAATTTTTTTTATAACGATAAATCCGAAACGGTACGCGAAAAATTCCGATATTCGGTACGTACCATTCTAGTAACAAAATCGATACGCATGCCGGTACGATATTGACTACTTTGCTTGGAAGTCAAGAGCGCCGTGTCTAATGGGTGGGAGACACTTGTAATTTTAGGTTAAATGTTAATTTTAGTTTTTCAACTTTAAGGTTTTATATAATTTTTATCTCTCAATTATTTTATGCACTTTTTTTGTCCTTTAGCTCTAAAAAATGTACCTTTTTTGGCTCTTTTATCAATTAATTCATTAAGTTAGTCCATTAAATTTATACATATATACACATTTTAGTTCTTAAACTTATAAATTTAAGAATTAAAAATGTACATATATAGCCACCGACCTAACTAACTCTGTAGTAATCTTCTTTTATTGAAAATAAGAGATTTTAAGTTTGAGTCGTATAACATGTGAGTGGAGTGAAATAAGGAAAAAATGCATATATGTGTAGATTTAATGGACTAATTAATAGAAGGACAAAAAATGCATTTTTTAAAGTTGAGGGACCAAAAGAGTGCATAAAATAGTTAATAGATGAAAATTGTATAAAACCCTAAAGTTAAGGGACTAAAATTGATATTTAACTGTCATTTTGTGTAGAGGATAAAATATAGAGTGCCCTGTTTGGCTTAATATTTTGAATGATGCAAGCTTCCATTTGTGTTGTGGAAGACTTTTCCACCAAGTTTAGGTGTCCATATAAGGCAAGCTAAGGGATGTGTGTGGCAACACATCCTTCCTTTGATCCATAGCTTTCTCTCTATAAATTTGGTTTCCATGGCTTCGCCAACGCTCGTCTGCAACATTCTAATAGCCATCGTCAACACCACAAGTAACCTCTCACTCTATGTATCTATTTTTTTTTATTGAACAAATATATTAGGCTATATTTAATATGATTTTGATTTTTAGTTTTTAATTTTAATTTTTAAAAATTTTAAAAACCTAAAATAAAATTATTTATAAATTAATTAAGACTTTGTTTAGTATAGTTTTGTTTTTAAAATTTTTGTTTTTGTTTTTTATATATTTACTAACCGATACTGTATTTAAATTAAATTTTATAAATTAAAATTTTTATAATAAATTTTAATTTCTAAATATAGAATTAGTTCTAAATATATAAAAAATAAAAACCAAAACCCTAACTAAATAGAGCATAAGTTTTCAGTTTTGAGTTCTAAAAGCTTATACTCAATAAATTGGCTTTTAAAAATTTTTAATTTAGTTTTCAATTCTTAATTTTAATTGTTAAATTTTGGCAACCAAAAACCAAAACACTATCATACTAAATGAAACCTTACATTCAAACGTTTCTATACATATATATGTTTTTTCAATAATGTTGTTATTTTTGGTTTTTAATTTTGTTCGCTGAAAATTTAACAACATTAGTTAAGATTTTATTTAGTATAGTGGTAGTCCTAGGTTTTTAGTTTTGGTTTTCATATATTTTGTAACTCTAAACAAAAAACACATTTATTTTCGTGTATTTCGGCAACATATAACTATAACAAAACCATCTTTTAAGGAGAGTTTATCTTGGTGAAAAGCCCTTATTCTAGACATTAAAAGATAAACAATGAGGGGGCCCTTATTCTAGTCATTAAAAAGATGAATAATGAGGGGATGTCATGTCATGGTCCGTCGTTATATATTTTGTGGTTAAAAATTTTTAATGACGAGGGCATTTTGGCCTTGGGCATGGCCATTGAGAATATTGCTAAGGCCAACAATATTGTATTTTTTGTTTTCTTAAATTACTTCCTTGCCCATTCAAGAAAAGACAAAAATGATTAGGATAGAATTGAAAAAAATATTTATTTTCTTAAATTGAGTGTGTTAGATAAGTAATTTAACAAAACAAAAAATAAAATATTAGTGGTCTTAATAATATCTCTAGTGACCATAACTAAGCCCATGCATTTTGCCCGTCATTGAAAATAACGCACCATCTGTTGCTTTAAGTATCATCTTTATCTCCACCACATTAGTTTATTACAAGGGTAATTCTCGCTGTTAAATGTCAAATAATTCTCAATTTAAATGACAAAAAATATCATTCTATTATTTCTAATGACATCAATTCCCCATCGTTGCAAGTGGAAGATAATTTATAACGATAGTAATCTTTGACACTAAATGAAACAAATTCCAAATTTGAGAACAAATAGCTAGAGAACCTATGCCTTTAAAAACGATAAACTTGAGAATAATAATATAAACCATAATCTTAACATTATCAAAAAGTTAGATCTTTACATACATGACTATAATTTACCATCCAAAATTATCAAGTACACGAGTCTCATTGAAATTCTATGTGCCTAAACCAAAGATACCACAAGGCAGCAATATTAAATACTTCATTTTCACATAAATGATGCGGCGCTTGCCACATATGCTCATCTCCAAGACTTCTGCATCTAAAAATTTCAAATAGTAAGTTATAATCACATCCAAAAGTTAAAATTCAATAAGAAACCAGTTTATTCAATCTGCTAGATTACTAGCTACAAGACCAGGCCACTTCTTGCGCCCAACCCAATACCAAGGCCCAAAAGAATCCATCCCAGAAAAGGCTTAGAAGTAGGCTGAACAGATTACGGGCCGGATATAAGCCTGCGGGCAAAATCATCCATTAAAAATATCTATTTGCAATAATATTATTCACTAAATATAAAGCTCTCTGCTTTGTCATTTGATTTATTTTGAATTGTACAACTTTTTTTACTTTTTTTTAAAAATATAAATACCAAAGCCAAACATCATAATATAAATTGGGATAATGATATGAGATAATTTTTTATATAATTTTTATATGTTATTAAATAAATATATATATAATATTATAAATACCAGTGAGGAGATAATAATATTTATTAGTTCTTTTCATATAATTTTACATATTATTTAATAGGATGTATAATTTTTTTTATACAATTTTATATATTATTTAATAAGATGTATAATTTTTATACAACTTTACATATTATTTAATAATTAATTCTTTTTATCTTTTACTAATATAATTTTTTAAAGGTAATATAAATAAAAATATAAATTTAAAGATAAAATAAAAAATTATTTTATTCTGGACTGATGGAGCATCCAACACTTGCAATTTACGTAAAAAATTTTGGGAATATCCATATTGTTTGAGATGACATCCGCTTCTTCAGACTTGAAATCTTCTATCCCCACCACTTGATCCCACAATTTCCCGTTGTCGCCGGGCGGACAAGTCAAGCAGCCGGAGTGGCTAAAAAATCTTAGCCGCCGGCGTCACTAAAAAATCTAAAATTAATTGTTGCTTAGCTGTGAGCCTGTGACTTTTAGGAACACAACAATTAAAGGCACCACCAATTTTCCACATAATACGCTGTACACTTGACCTTCTAAAATTTCAAGGTCTAAATCTATGTGCCCCATTATCAATGAGTGCAACGCTATGTTTAAGATTTTTGGGCAGTGCTGTGAATATTGATAAAAATTAATTTTTTAAAAATTTAAATTATATCAAATTGTAAGATATAAATTATTAAATAAAAAATAACCCATCATATTAACAATATGTTTATTTTGAAAAAATTGAAGAAAACAAGAAAAGAGCGAAATAAAAGGACGTGACATCTTTCTATTTACCTCCATTCCCTTCTCTCCCTTTCATTTGGAAAGATAAAGAAAAAATTCTCCTTCCCTTTAAAATTTTTACTAAACAAATAAAAAAATATTTTCCCTTCTCATCCCCTCCCATCCCATCAAATCAATTATACCATAAAAAATTTACTTTTTATTTAATGATTTAAGTTGTATAATTTAAATAACACAATATTTTTATTTTGTAAAAATTATTATTATTAATATGTTTGTGATGACAAGCAAATTTCATTGAAATTATTTACATTCAAATAAAAATAGATGAATTCAAATATCTATCCTCACGCATAATTCTATTCCATCTTTATCACTTGAGAAAATTACATATAGAAATTATTATCTATATATAATAGTCCTCACTTCACCCTTTAAAATGACTCAATTAATTAAAAATTTTAAATTTTAAATAAAATGTTTCATATTCAAATGTTGAATTGAATGAAAAAAATTTGCGAAAAAGAAAAACATATCCCTCTCATATAACTGATAATATGATGTTAAAAAAAAAAAAAAAAGTCCTCACCTCCAAGTGGCATTCTTCCCAAATGAACTACAGTCAAGAGAATGCACCGACCGTCAAGAGTGCCGCAGGTCACGGGTGAGCGATACCCGTCATTTTATGTGGAGGATAGACTAGGGTGCTGTTTGCCTTAGCTCTTCTTAAGTAAGTTTCAAGTTAAAAATTCATATTTTTTTATTTTTTGAAATTTTAATTTCATTCATGAAAAACTTGAATTTTAGAAAAAAAAAATAATTTTTAAACAAATTTTTGATAAAAGTAAGGGTTTGGAACTTTCTAAAAAACTTGTAAACTTTTTTTTTTTTTTTTGCTAAAATTCTCTTTTTTCTCCGAAACTAATTTAAACTTCAGACATATAAAAATGACTTTTAACGAATTAAAAAATATAGCAGCCCCTTTATGTAGCTTAGTCCATTTGAGTCAAGGGTATTGATTTGAAATTTTAAATTCAAAAGTGGAAGCTAATTTTGATTTCTCTGGATAACGGAGTTGTTATTAGGAAAGAGACTTACATTTTCTTTGTGTCAATTCAATAAGTTTAGTATTGAAAGAAGGAGAAAAAAACGTTAAACCATATTTGATTGATTCTAATATATTATAAATATAAATAAATACAATGTATTGTAGGCCATTGTAATTGAAATCAAAGATTTGAAAATATTCTTGGTTTTGTATAAGGCTTCATCTACATAAAAATTAATTTGTTTTGACTTTTTGATGATGAACATCTTAGAAAAAAAAGTTTATAATATTTATATGGTATCAAATAAATAGATATATATTATTAATTATCCCACAAAAATTAAAAAGAGTCAATAAAAATTATGTCACATTATATTTTAAAATTTTATTATTAACAAATATTGTTAATAAATTATTTTTTGATATTAATAATTAGGAAGCAGAATATTACTTCTTTCTTTTACGTAAATTATATATTAGGGTGCTCCCAAATGAATTTGTGCTACCTTGATTTTTTTTTGGATCTTGCTGCAACCTCAATTCTAATTCTTCCTTTTTCTTCAAACACAAATTATTTACATCGGGACTAAAGAGAGGGAGTAAAACATTTCTTCGTAACTTCCTTTTCTCCACAATTTTCCAGTACTTTGAATGACGCAAGCTTTCATTTGTGGAAGACTTTTCCACCAAATTTAGGCCTCTATATAAGGCAAGCTAAGAAGTGTGTGGCAATGCATCCCTCCTTTGATCAATACAGATAGCTTTCTCTCTTTCAGTTATCATGGCTAAGATACAATCTTTAGGCAGCAAACATGGTTTCATGGCTTCAACAATGCTCGTCTTCAGCCTTCTAATGGCCATTCTCTCCACCACAAGTAACCTCTCACTCTATATATCTGTTTTGATTTTTCATTGAACAAAGAAAATTAAGGTTTATTTAGTATAATTGTAGTTTTTAATTTTTGTTTGCCTTTTTAGAAATTCAGATACTCTCAAATTAAATTAATAAATTCTATAAATTACTTAAGTTTTTAATTTTAAGCGTTGGTTCTAAAAGCTCATACTCAATAGGCTGGCCTTTTTATTTTTTAATTTTTATTTTTTAAGTTAGATAAATTTTTTTCTACTTTAATCTTATCATTATCCATTTATTTTAATTAATTGTCCAACTACTAAAAGTCATTCTTTATCTTTAATTTTTTTAAAGGTATTATGGATAAATATAACATTGTCCCCTAATTCATAATTTTTAAAAAATAAAAAATTAATTATTTTCAGTCAAAAAGTATAACAATCAAAACTAAAAACTTATAATCATACTAAACAAAACTTTATTGTTTAACATTTCTATGCATATTGTTATTTTTTGTTTTTAATTTTGATTCTCTCAAATTTAACAACACTAGATTAACACAACCTAAAGTTAATTTAAGAAAAATTAAAATAATAGTTAATATATAAGTTGTTGAATTCAATCTTATGCAGGTGCCCAAATTGGTGTTTGTTATGGCATGCTTGGCAACAACCTACCGCCCCGCCCAGCGGTCATAGCCCTGTATAACCAATACAACATCCGAAGGATGAGACTCTACGGGCCGGATCAAGCTGCGCTCCAAGCCCTCCGAGGCACCAACATTGAGGTCATGCTCGGTGTCCCCAACACCGATCTCCAACGCATCGCCGCCAGCCAGGACAATGCCAACGCTTGGGTCCAAAACAACGTCAAGAACTACGCCAACGTCAAGTTCCGCTACATAGCCGTTGGGAATGAAGTTAAGCCCTCGGATTCTTTTGCAAAGTTTCTAGTTCCCGCCATGCAGAACATCCGCAATGCACTTGCGGCTGCTGGACTTGGAATCAAAGTTTCCACGGCCATAGACACCGGAACCCTCGGAGAATCTTTCCCACCGTCCAAGGGATCTTTCAAGGGCGAATATATGCCGATTCTCAACCCTGTAATCCGTTTCTTGGTGAACACACAAGCTCCATTGCTGGTCAACTTGTACCCTTACTTCAGTTACATAGGCAACACTAAGGACATCTCCCTTAATTACGCCCTCTTCAAGGCCCCGTCGCCCGTGGTGCCAGATGGGTCTCTACAGTACCGTAATCTTTTCGATGCAATTCTTGATGCAGTCTATGCTGCGCTTGAGAAGTCCGGTGGAGGCAATTTAGAGATTGTTGTATCAGAGAGTGGCTGGCCTAGTACCGGTGGAACGGCAACGACCGTTGACAATGCAAGGACTTATAACAACAATCTGATTCAACATGTGAAGGGAGGGACTCCGAAGAAGCCTGGAAAGCCCATCGAGACATACATTTTTGCCAT